AGCAACATGAATTGCATAGCTTATGGGGGGGAAAGGGCCCTGATTCCCTTCATTAGCTGCAGCTGGGAACACAGTGTTTAAAAAGGGAGTTTGTGCACAGCAACTTGTTGGAAACAAATCCAAAGTTTCCTTTCTTTGTCTGATTTCTTTCAGCTAGGAAATACCTTTCTTGAGTTTGTTACCTTCTCCTTATAAATGCCTGGTGGGGAGAATGGATTTCCAAGTATGGATTGGAAGCTTCTTAGAAGCAGGATCCCTTTTCCAGCTTATACATCTGGAATCAGGGGAACTTCACTCATTTCTTAACATGGATTGGAAAGTCTCAGAGGAAGATTCTTAGCTTCATGGGGGTTGTCTTTCTTTTTCTTAAAAAATCTGGAGTATCATGCTGGAGATTTTCACAGCACGGACATTCGGATGAAGGATCTTTCTCGTTCACTTCCATCTTTCACAATGAAGCATGTGTTTTGATGGGGTTGCCCAACCAAAGGCAATGTAGGAGCTTTGCAGAACATCTGTCTTGGCCACCAGGGATTGTCTTACATTCTTATTATTATTTTTAGTGGTTAGCATCAGCAAACAAGTCATTGTTGCCTAACAATGGACAAGGGTCACGTCAATTGAGGAAAAGGAAATGAGCCACTTGGTTAATTAAAGACCCAGCTGAGCCAAAGGGAATGGAAATCCTGTTCCACAAACCTGCTTCTCCCTGGCTCATCTGTTTTGTTCTCATCTTCACCAGTGAAGGCACACTTTCCTGCAGAGTCCTTGATGTTCTCTGGGCTTGGTTGTTTACTTGTGGACAAATTATTAAAACATCTGCAAGAAAAGCTCAGAGAGCACAAACACTCCACAGTTCAACCCTGAGTCCTTGCCTTCATTTGGAGGAAAAGGAATTCTGGACCGATCCAGGCTGGGGGAAATGAGATATTAGGGGAGGAGATTCTAGGGAAATATTTGGAGATCTACAACTGTAATGTTGCAAAAGATTCCTGTACTTTTATTTCCTGTTCTCATTCAATATGATAGAAGAGAATTGAAATTTGACACTTCTGTCCAAAGGGGTGAGGCTTGGGCATTTATTTAATAGTGACAAGGTAGCCAAAAGACTTATGGGAATGGCCTTTTATTGTACACTCAACCCTCCAATAGTCAACTATTTCCCAAAGAAGGCATGTGGGCCTATTTGTGGGTTTACACCAGTGTGGACAGCTAGAGTTCAAGAATTCCCTTTGGGTTTTTTATGTGTGTTAGTTTGTTCTAGTGTTTAAGCCACCACGTTAGAAACCAGGAAGTGACCTCGTGGGCATCCAAAACAGAGATGACAAGACACCATTGACAAAGATATTCAAGCTGCAGGCCTGCACCTTGGAGACACAGATGACAGTGCAAAGTGGCATTCAGTGATCTGAAAAGCGGACCCTGCACCTGTAGGAATATGCTAGGAAGAAGAAAAGGTTAGAAACCAGCAGCGAGTTCTAGTCCCATTTTAGGCATGAAAGCTGACTGGGTGACTTTGAGCCAATCACCAAGACACTTGAGTTCTAGTTCCATTTTAGGCAGGAAAGCCAGCATGCTGATTTTGGACCAATCACTAGGAAACAGTGAGTTCTAGTCCCTCCTTTGTAACAAGGAAGTGAGTTCAGAACTGTACCAAATTTGGATTCCTGTGCGAAGTATGAGTTGGGACTTTTTGTGGTCAGCCAGTTCTTTCAGAGGAGGTCATTAAACTTGTTTCCTGCCAAACACAGGCAGAATTTAAGTTAATTCAAACAGATGTTAAGGGAACTTGAACTGAGTTAGATACAGAGGTAGTCCCCACTTAATGATGGCCCACATGGTGACCATATAAACTTATGACAGATCTCCTCAAAGCTACATACACCCCATTTTTGAAGTTCTGACAGCTTTACACCCCCTGTAGTCACATCATCAAATTATGGACACTTGGCAACCTGTTCACATGTACTGCCATTTGCCGTATGCTGGGGACATGTGACTAACAATTGTCAGTATTCTTGTGAGTTTCCAGCATTTCATTCCAATTTCGAGCAAAAAAAACCACCCATGGGCATAATGGATTAGCTCTGCATTCACTTGTAAAATCAGGCACGGTCATCTGGTGACCCCCTTAACAATCACCAAAACTTAAGACCAGAATTCTGGGCACAATTAAGGTCATAATTTAAGGGGATACCTCCGTTGCTCATGAAGGAACACACAGCAGAAGTGTGCAAAAGAACACGGACACATGCAACCTTCTTCTTCTCTGCAATAGACACAGTTACTTCCAGTGATCAAAACTTCTTTGCCCAAAGATTTGATGATGTGGATTAAGTGGAGAAGAAAATATTCTGCCAAATGTCACCGTTTTTGACACCGCCAACAAATGGAGATTTGGTATCTTCAGCTTGAAGTGTAGCTGTTGGTTTCTGGCTTTCCCGATAAACTAAATAAGAACTGCCGGTCTGTGTGCAAAGACAGATAACGCATGCTTTTGCACAACTGGGAACGCTGCTTCCCTATCACAGGAAACAATGCTTGCTTTTTTGGGCGGAAGGGGGAGACTTCATTATTCCTGAGAATAATCCAAGTCAACCATGCTTGGTCTTCTGCCCATCAGAGTAGTTAAGACTATAGCTCCCATCATTCTTTCAGGGCTTGATACAGATTTAAAAGTTCAGAAGGCGATCCCTGCACCCAGCTGAAGGATAGTCCCAAGTGAAGGACAAATGACTATAAAGTGCTTCTCTTTGCATTGTGCACAATTAGCTGATGGAACTCAAGGCCACCAGATGGGTGAGAGTCGCTGGAACAGAGCATTTCAAAAAGAAAAGAAAAACTGAACTCTACATATGGAGTATAAGAAGCCTATGATAAAAGTTAGCAAAATGAGTTTCTATGTTTCATGGCAGCGATATCAGAAGCAGGCAACCTGGTGCCTTGGGCACTGATGCAGATTTTTCCTCTTACTGTCCCACCAAATATATTTAAAGCAGCTTTTAATTTTAAAAAAGAGGGAGCAGACCTGCTATAAAACCACATCAGGATCATCTTTGCTCAGAATCTCCGAGTTTGCAGAGGTGTTAAAAAAATTAAAATGTCAGGTGGCTGCAGGCCAGGGTTTTCTTTGGCAGGATGCCCATTTTCCCAGAAAAACAACAGCAAAGGTAGGATGGATGAACTGGCCAGGAGCTAGAAGGGAAGATAAGACACAACTTCATCAGTTTGCCTTCTGTTCAATGGGTGCATTGCAAGCAGACCTTCCCAGCAGCATCCAGTGTATCAAAAGGTCTAAAGAGACAATGTGCATCTTTCGATTGTCCCAAAACATTTCCTAAAGGAACCATTTAACTCAGTGGAAAAAAATCAACCTGTATCTTTACCTTATGATCCTAAATTCATTAAGGAGGTTGGAATTCTGGTTTGCTGGCTAGACCCATGCCATGTAAAGCTTTATAGGTTATAAGCAGCACCTTGAATCACACCTGGAAGCAAACTGGCAGCTAGTTGTGGTGGCAATGCAGAAGACCACTGTTATTTTGAAGAGTTCAGTGACATGTTGTTGTTTTTTTTCTAATTTCTCCTTCATATTAAAGAAAGTCTAAAAAATTTAAGGCCCATTCAGAGCTAACTTGCTTGTTGTTGTTGATTTTACTTTTGTAAAAAGGGGGCAAAACCTTCATGTAGTTGAAGTCTCAGTCTTTTTACTCTCATCCTAAAGTCATGTGCCACCCAATCAGTGCCTGGTCTTGCAGTCTTCTGACTATATTAGAGCTATGAAATCCTGGTGCCAAATTTTGATAAATATTTGGGGTTGTTATTGCTTGGAGCTTCTACACAGGACATTGCACTGGGCTCTGTGGAAGCTGCCCACCCAATGGGGCATTTCTGCTATGGTTATTAAGGAGCTCCTAGCAGCTTGTGAGAGATTTGCATATCATCTTCTTTGTATGTATGCTTATTATGTTATATTTTTAAATTGGTTTGCTTGGGTTAATCATAAAGCTTAAAATCCCCATATTTACTGGTGTGCTCTGTATCCAAAAAAACCAATTGTTTGGCCACCTGATCACTGCCCTGACACTTGGCAAAGCACCAGTGAATTCACAAAACCAGCGTGTCACACGAGTGCACAGAGACATACTCATCACTGACCACACTACTGTATCCTTAACCAGTTGATCCTTCCAAATGATAATAACAGAATAACAGAGTTGGAAGGGACCTTGTAGATCATCTAGTCCAACCCCCGGCCCAAACAGGAAACCCTGCACCATTTCTGATAGAGGGCAGTCCAGTCTCTCCTTGAAAGCTTCCAGTGATGAAGCTCCCATAAATTCTGAAGGCAAGCTGTTGATTGCTCTGTCGGAAAATTTCTCATTCTCCTTGATCAGTTTCTATCCTTTATTCTTTGTCTGGCCTTCAGGTGCTTTGGAAAATAGGCTGATCCCCTCCTCTGTATGGCAGCCCCTCAAGTATTAGAACACTGCTACCATTCTCCCCTAGTCCTTCTCTTCTCTTCTCTTCTCTTCACTAGACTAGCCATGCCCAGTTCCTGCAACCATTCATCGTATGTTTTAACCTCCAATCTCCTAATCATCTAGGGCCCGGATGGAGCACCTGGGATAATTAAGACACTATGGAAGGTCTGAAGGGCCTTCAGATCTAAGAATGAAATTGTGCAAAGGCCTTCCTGGCCGCAGCTACCATCTACTCATTGAACAGAAACTGTGAGTACAAGAAAGACCCTCAAATTCCACACCATTCTTGGACCACAAGACCAACACCACAACCCCATCCAAGGTTCCAGATAAGATCAAAATCCGGATGAATTTATTCTCTGCTAAATGACTCTAGAATGAACAGAGCTAGAAGGCAGCACTTTGGCAGATTGTGCACAATGCAGCACAACAGTGCCCCCTAAAGCATCCGATGTACCCAAAAAAATGTTTAAACACACCATGCGGATATTTAGATTGTCCCAAAACTTTTTCCTAAAGGAACCATTTAACACAGTGGGGGAAATCTCTGTAAAGGACCTTGGAATACTCACCTCTAATGATCTAAGTGCTAGAGCCCACTGCAACTACATAGCCAAAAAGGCATTAAGAGTTGTTAACCTAATCCTACGTAGCTTTTTCTCTGGTAATATCACACTACTAACCAGAGTATACAAAACATTTGCTAGACCAATACTCGAATACAGTTCATCAGTCTGGAACCCACATTACGTATCTGATATTAGCACAATTGAGAAAGTCCAGAAATATTTCACAAGAAGAGTTCTCCACTCCTCTACTCGTTGTAGAATACCTTATGCCACCAGACTTGAAATTCTAGAACTAGAAAACCTTGAATTACGCCGTCTTCGGTCTGACTTAAGCATGGTATATAAAATCATACATTGCAATGTCCTACCTGTCAGTGAATACTTCAGCTTCAACCATAACAACACAAGAGCACACAATAGATACAAACTCAAAGTAAACCACACCAAACTTGATTGCAGGAAATACGACTTCAGCAATAGAGTGGTCAATGTCTGGAATACTCTACCCGACTCTGTAGTTTCTTCCCCAAACCCCAAAAACTTTAACCTTAGACTGTCTACTATTGACCTCACCCCTTTCCTAAGAGGTCTGTAGGGGGCGTGCATAAGCGCACCAACGTGCCTACCGTCCCTGTACTATTGTTTCTCTTATTCTTTTATTTTTCTTATATGTACCCATTTCATGTATTCACAACTATGTATACACTTATACTTATTATCTTGTAAACAATTGGCAAATCAAATAAATAAATAAATAAATAAATAAAAATCAGCCAGAGCCTTTTTACCTTATCATCATAAATTCATTAAGGAGGTTGGGATTCTGGTTTGCTGGCGAGACCCAGGGCTTTAAGAGGCAAGAAGCAACATGGAGCATTGAGGAAGATGTGGGACAAGAAAGAGGATCAGCTGGGTTCTTCAGCAGGGATGGGCTGAATGGGTTCGTAGGGATTCGGGAGAGCCCCTAGCTAAGATTCTGTGCAGTTTGGAGAACCCCCCAAATCCCACTTCTGGCTAGTCCCGCCCCGCCCACCCGTCCCCTCCCAGGTGTCCCCACATGGCTCATTTTGGATGCAGGTAAGTGCAGAGTGGGTGTGGGGCTCGGGGAGGGCAAAAAATGGGCCTCTCGGAAGTTTGGGGAGGCTAGAAATGGGCCCGTTTCTGGCTTCCAGAGAGCCTCTGGAGCTTGGGGAGGGCAAAAATGTCCCGTCCCCCCCATGGTGCAGGAGGCCGACAAGTTCACACCCACCATGGCCACACCCACCTAGCAACTGGACTGAGAGCCTGTTGCTAAAAATTTTGAAGCCCACCCCTGTCCTCAGCCATGGACTCTCACTGAGCCAGGGTGGTGTAACGGTAAAGGGGTTGAACTAGGAACACCGAGACCTAAATTTGAGTCCTACCACAGCCACAAAGATTCCCTGGGAGCATTCAGCGAGTCACTTCATCTTAGTCCAACAACCAAGGTAGTTCAGGGATCAAGTCCCTGGACTAGAAGTCGATTGATCCAGATTCTAGATCCCGGTTCCTCAACAGAGAAGTTCCCTGGGGCTCTTGGAGTCTTTGTTAAAAGTGTTGGACTAGAAGCAAGGAAACTCAAAAGGGTCGAGATAGTGAAAGAATGCAAAAGCCTTGAAAAGATAAAAGGGAAAATAAAGGAAATCTCAGCCATGGGAAAGCAGCTTAAGAAAAAAAAAATCAGAATAACACCCCCACCCCCACACACAAACACATACACATATGTATGATCCTACCTGTTATAAGAGTGGACATAGGAACTCTGTGGAGCTTTCTGTAGATTCTCTAGTCTTTGATTTATGACCCAGTTTCAAAGTTGTGACATTGCCCCTCCACCTGCAGTCACATGACCACATTGAGGTCACTCAGCAACCAGCATGCATTTATAGCTGTTTGCAGCATCCCACAATTGACCATAATTTGAAATGGTTTTGCTGGAAACTGGTGATTTACTTCTGGCAAAAAAAAAATGTCCCATACCTATCCATGGGTTTGCTTGATGACTGTGGTGTTCACTTAATGACACTTAATACCTGCACCAAAAAAGGTTGTAAAATGGATCCAGTTATGTGGTGGCCCACTTTATAATCATCACCACTTACAACCTTAATGGCCGGGCTTGATTACGATTGTAACTGGAGGATTATCTATATGCTTTGCAACAATAGAGTTCCAAGCTGTCTCTGCTCCTGACAAGATCTTCCTCAAAGAACTGACACAGGTTGTATCCTCCCTCAGCCACAGAGGTGGCCTGGTTGTCTTTATTTTATTTATTTACTCGCTCTATACCAGTGCTTCGCCACAAAACTGTGTGATCGGGCTTAGCTTTTTGGGAAGAAAATAAGGGTGGGGGTGAATTCTGCCTCTGCCTACCAGCATCCCTTGGTATTCCTCTGGCTAGCGTCCTGTCGGTGTGTGAGACTTGATGGCTGTTTGGAAACTGAAACAGTATTTGCTGTGTGAGCAAGGAGACAGCAAGGAGCCTGGGCATGGCTTAGCTCAACTGTTCTGTACTAAAGCTGATTGCTGCTGTGAAACTGAAATTGAAACTCCTCTCCTCTGTTTGTGTTTTGCATTTGGAACAGATTTCTTTTCAGGTGGGGAGGGGGAGTAGAACTTCTTAACATCACAGCATGTTAATAATAATATTATTATTAATAATAATAATACTAATGCTCTGATGGTCATTTCGAAAAATCCTTTCTTAATGAGCACCTAGAAGCCAAGAGGAACATACATGCCAAATTTCAAGTTTGTAGGCTTTATGGTTCTGGAGATTTTGTGATGATGCGTGAGTGCTATTTTGCTTTTTATATATACAGTATAAACTTATAGCTTGTCCATCTCGCTTGACTTTATTCTCTTTCAGCCCTGCTCTGCATCAGGTTCTGAGCCAAGTCTTGGTCTCACCACATGCTGTATGGAGATCTTGCTGTGAGAATTACAAAGACACAAAACCATTTTTGGTCGACAAACCAAAAGAGTGAGTGCAGAAGACTTAATGTTGTAATGTTTAAGTTTAAACAACATACTAGGCCCAAACAAAGGAACTATATGGTTTTTCACTGCGTCTTTGTAGAGAGCAACGGGGTAAAAGGTAGGAGAGATCCCCTAAGCTAATGAAGAAAGGAAGAGTAGGATAAAAAAAAATATTTTTATTTCTTACAATCACTGAATAATGTGTAAGACCAAGTTTAAGTTCATAGAAGATCACTGGGCTAGCCATGCTCTCTCAGCCCAGCCTACCTCACAGGATTGTTGTTATGGGGAAAATTTGGGGAATTCCATACACCACTTTGAGTTCCTGGAGGATAGATGAAATGGAGAATTTATACATACTTAAACTTGAATTAAAGACCCAATTTGGTGTAGGGGTTGGTGTCAGAATAACTTAGGAAGCCGCGAGTTCTAGTATCACCTCAAAACTGTGGGCCAGTACCTCTCAGCCCTAGGAAGAAAGGAAAGGAAATAGATATTCTGAAAATGTTGCCAAGAAAACTACTGGAATTTATTCATGTACATATCGGAAGTCAAGATTGACTTGAAGGCAACGAGAGCCAGTTTGATGTAGTGATGATGGTGCAAGACTAGAAACCAGGAGATACAGATGCAGAATAAATAGAGTTGGAAGGGAATTTGGAGGTGGTCTAGTCCAACCTCCTGCTCAAGCAGGAGACATTACCATTTCAGACAAATGACTGTCCAGTCGTTTCTTAAAAATCTCCAGTGATGAAGAACCCACAAGTTCTGAAGGCAAGCTCTTCCACTGCCTTCAGAACTGGTTAATTGTTCTCACTGTTAAGAAGTTTCTTCTTAGTTCTCTAAGTTGCCTCTCCTTGATTAGTTTCCATCCATTGCTTCTTGTCTTGCTTTCTGGTGCTTTATATAGTAGATTGCCCCCCCTCGTCTTTGTGGCAGCCCCTCAAATATTGGAAGACTACTATCATGTCCCTCCTAGTCCCCCCCCTTTTTTTTTAAACTAGCCATACTGAATTCCTGCAATCGTTCTTCATATGTTTCAAGAACTCATGGTCTTTATAGAAGACTATGAGTTCTTCTCCTGCCTTGGGCACAAAATCGGTAGGGTGGCCTTGGGACAGTCATCCTCTGTCAGCCCTAGTAAAGAGGCAATGGCAAACTATTTGGAAAATCTTGCCAAAAAAAACCCAGGGACTAGTCCAGATAGTCACCAGAAATCAAGACTGGCTCAAGGTATGCATGCACACACAAATGCATACACAAGCACACTTTCTTTCTTTCTTTCTTTCTTTCTTTCTTTCTTTCTTTCTTTCTTTCTTTCTTTCTTTCTTCTTTCTTTCTTTCTTTCTTTCTTTCTTTCTTTCTTTCTTTTTCTTCTTTCTTTCTTTTTCTTTCTTTCTTTCTTTCTTTCTTTCTTTCTTCTTTCTTTCTTCCTTTCTTTTTCTTTCTTTCTTTCTTTCTTTTTCTTTCTCTCTCTCTTACACACACACACAGTTGACCTTCCTGCATTTTATTGTTAACATTATTTTTCCATATTGATCTACACAACAGGCAGCCTACCATCATTTTAAAACAATAAGTGCACCTTCTACAAAATAACCTGGGGCAGTTTTAGCTGACCAGCTGGATATTGCTGTCATACTTTTTCAGGTTACATCGATTCTGTCTACAAGCCAAGACCACCAACATGTGCCTGGAAATGAGGTGTATTAAGGTGGTGACCAGAGTGTACTCGACCAGCATTAGCACAGAGGGGTCCACAAGATTGCATCGATGTGACCACCATCTTAATTTTTTTTCAACTCCTTCCCTGCAGATGCTTCTGAATCAGCGAATACCCAAAGACAGTTATGCCATAACAGGAAGCCAATTGCAAGCACATGGAGACTTTCTCAATGCAAAAAATCCACATGGCAAGGAAACAAAGAGATATTCCTGTCAAAATGCACCAGTTTCCCCCCAGAAATATCTCCCAAGAATTTTGCTCCGTACAGTTTGTTTTTTAAAACGTCCACATGTATCTTTGCCTCTCTCCTCTGGGGACTCCGAAGTCTTTTCAGATATGGATGGCAGCCGTGGGCATGTTATGTTTTCACAGATTGGATGTATGAACACTTCCAAAGGGTTGCTGTTTTCAAGGACAGTGCAGGCATGAAAAATATAAAAAAGCCTGCTTATCCAAAGCTATCAGCTGTTTGACCCTTTCCCACATCTGCAGGAAATTAGGTGCCCTCTAACCCTGAATTGGGACTGGAGGAAACCAGCAAACAGGCAAACTGTACAAGCAGCTGACAGAAGAGTTTGGGAAATGTGGGGACCACTAAAATCACTGTAAAGGAAGGAAAAGAAAACAGCATGTGGCAGTCAAAGAAAGGGGTAAAAGAGGAGACCTGAATTCATTAGTTTCGGCCAATTCCTTTTTTTTTCTTTCCATTCGCACATAACTTAACACAAAGCTTTCTTCTCTTTCTCTTCCAGACCAATCCATTGTCAGATGCTGATTTAAATATTCCTTTCTTTTCTCATGTCCCAAAGGTGCTTTTTCCAAGAGGCAACTGAACTTTGTTTTTCTTTGAAGACATTTTGACTTCTCATCTAAGAAGCTTCTTCAGCTTTTCAGAGCTGAATGCGTGTTTGTGTCTGCGTGTCGCCAGGCTCTTTTTAAAAGCCTGCAGCGTTGGAGCATTCACAACTTCTGGTGGCAAGCTGTTCCACTGGTTAATTGTTCTTACTGTCAGGAAGTTTCTCCTGAATTCCAGGTTGCTTCTCTCCTTGATTAGTTGCCATCCATTGTTTCTTGTCCTGCCTTCAGGTGCTTTGGAGAAGAGGTTGACCTTATCTTCTTTGTGGTAGTCCCTCAAATATACTATAAATAAACACTATCATGTCACCCCAGT